CACATAACAGTAAGAAATCACCTATTAATAGATTACATATTATCATCTTGGAAATAGTTGCTCACATCACAGTATCAAAGAATACAAAGTAGACATTCAAACAGAGAGACTGCAAACAGCTGTGTTCAATGATCCAAAAACATTAATATAGTCAGCTATTTAACACCCCTAAACACACTTGCTGTTATATCCATTAGAGCTCTTTTTTTTTCCTCCCTCTCTTTTTTACAACAAAATTTACACATTTTGGATTTTATTACTCCTTAGTTCTTATTACTTTTTTGGAAGTCCTGTAATACTCCCACGATCTTGTTTTGACTGATTAGACTCTGTTCCATTCTGTGCCATAGTATCAAGTTTGAGGGTATAGGCAACTACTTTGAAGGCAATAAGATTCACTAAGATGCCCATTCTGGTTTGACTATTGTCTCCTTTGGAAGTACTGTAATGTTTACAATGCCTAAGTTTTATTGGTCTTGTTCTCTACTGTTTTGTCCAACTTTATAATATCTAATGAGATAGATAATTCTTTTTAAGGAAACAAGAGACAACGTTGATAACCATTGTTAATAACCTTGTACTCTGTTCTACATCATGTGCTATGTTTATCCTTGGTTTTGAATAACATCTGTCTTTTGCAGAGGGGAACAATGGTTAGCGTATCAATTAGGTCACCTAGGAAGATGGTGCATACAGAACATTATGACAAAGCTACAGCTATTAACAATGTGGTCGGTGCCCCAAGGTGCCTGGTTGTAGAAAATAGTTGAGTTTGCAAAGGGAATTAACAGGTAATTTGGTCATATAACTTGGGCATTGGCAAAACGTAACATAAACATAACAAAGTTCTTTTTGTTAGTGTATACCACTTATTACCTTTGAATTGAAAATCTAATGTTTCATGCTGCCTATGGTCACAACTCTGGAGTACCTCTACAAATTATATGCCAAAACTTACCTCTGATGAAGAAGGCTTCAAAAATAACTTTAAACATTCTTAGTCTGTTGTAGGATGAGGCTGCATTTATTACTGAATAAAAAACTTGCTAAGTGTTTTATAAATTTTCCAACTCTACACACAAGAAGAAATTAAAGATTGGAGGAGTTAGATGAATTGTCTGAGAATACACAACCACTATTCTAGAAGTGAGGGCTACAACTGAGATCTGTCTTTCCTGAACACTCTTCTCTTACATCTACATGATATGAAGTATCAGAGGTGTTTGTGATTCTGATTCTTTTTGTCCTTGAGTGCATACCCAAAGAAACATTTCTAAGTGGGTAGAAACACTAAAAGTGGGTACGGAATAAAATATGATGTAGAAGGAGATCCTCATACACAAATAAGAAACTCACTGAGAGGGAAATTAGAGATACAAGCCCTTTCACAATAGCATCAAAAAATAAATTTTAGGTGTCAATCTAACAAGGCAAGAAAAAGATCTCCACACTGAAAGCTACAGTAATCTGAAAAAGAAAAATCAAAGAGCATGTCTTAGTTACTTTTCTCTTGTTGTTGAGACAAAATACCTGGCACCCAAAATTAAGGAAAGAAAGGTTTATTTAGCTCACAGTTTGTAAAGGTTTCAGTCTATAATCAGCTGGTTCCAAAGCAGAGTGGCATGGTTGAGGGAAAACCATTCGCAGCAGCTGAAGACAGTAAAAACAACAAGAGCAAAAAGAAGGTAAACAAGCCTCTTTTCCTTCCTTATGTTGCATGCAGGCTACCCACCCTAGACTGGGTCCTTTATACCCACACCATCTGGATGCCCTCCTCTTGCACAGACTCAGGATGTTTACAAAGTGAGGACTCTGGCTCCCTGCTGAGTCACTTAGTTAAATTTCTAAATTTCTCAAATTGACACAATGAATCAAGTATTACAACATACTGGAGCATAAACAACCACTTGGGGCATGTCCTCTACCCCTTAGAATTTAGAAATGCTGTGTTATTTAGCTAAGCTTCTAAATGTCTCACGTTGACACAATGTATCAATCATTACAGAGGTTATCAGAAAATGGAAAGATATTCCTTGGCTTGGGTAGGAAGAAACAACATACTGAAAATGGTCATACTTCCAAAATTCTTATATGGATTTAATGCAGTCCCAATCAGCATATCATTAGCATACCTCATAGAGCTAGAGAAGATTCCTAACATTCATTTGAAACCAGAAGAGACATATAACAGCAAAAAACAAAGCAAAACAAAACAAAACAAAATCTAGGCAACAAAGGCAAAGTGGAAGGCATCACAGTTCCTGACTTGAAATTATACTACAAAGCTACTATGAAAAAAACCAGCATGATACTGGTTAAAAAACAAAACAAACCCTGATGATCAGTGGAACAGATTGAAAGCCAGAAACAACTTCAAATCTACTCATTTACCTTACTTTTGACAAAGGGGCCAAACAGTCACTGGAAGAAAGGTAGCCTCTTTAATAAATGGTGCTGAAAAAACTGACTTTCCACATGCCAAAGATTAAAGCTATAACCATGAATATCACCATATACTATTCTAAAATCAAAATGGATTAAAGATTTAAATAATAAAGCCGAAACACTGGATCTGCTGGAAGAGAGAATCAATAGAACTGTTGAAGATGTAAATATAGACAATGACTTCATGAACAAAACCTTGGGAAATATACTGCAAATAATACTGCATGGGAAATTCTACAAAGAGCCAACAACTGGGATCTCATCTTATTGAAAACCTTTGGCACAGCAAAAAATAAATCTCAGCAGAGTCAAAAGACAACACATATAGTGAGAAAAAATTTTATCGAGTTGTTCCTCAGATGAAAGACTAATATCTAGAACATAAAGAATTGGAAAAAATCAGATGTTTCAAAATTAGAAACCCAATCCCATAATGAGCATCTTGTCAAATAAAGAAAAACAAACAGCAAATAAATATCTGAAAAAATGTTCAACAGTATTAGTCATTAAAGAGATGCAAATTAAAACAACACTGAGATTCTTTTCACACCAGAAAAAACGGCTATTATCAAGAAATCAACCAATAACAAATGCTGGCAGTGATATGGGGAAAAAGAAACCCTTATGCCCTGTTGGTCAGAGTGTAGACTGGTGCAACCAGTGTGAAAATCAGTGTAGCAATTCCTCAAACACTAGGTCCCATTCAACCCAGCTATTCCTCTCCTTCTTGGTATCTTCTTGTTATCTTCCCAGAAGAATTAGAAGCATTGTACCATAGTGATACATGCACACCTATGATTTTAGCAGCACAGTTTGTAAACGTAAATCTTGAAAACAACTCAAATGCCCACAAACTAATAAATGGATAAAGAAAGATGGCTTTATTTATATAATGAAGTATCATTCAGCCATAAAGAGAGATAAAATTGAGACATTTATAGAAAAATGGGTGCAATTTAAGACCATACTCTAAAATGAAATAAACCAGACACAGGTGTAAACATCTAATTGTCTCTCTGGTGTGAGAAACTGAAAGTTGAATAAGAACCAAAATGTATAATAGAAATTATTAGAAAGGAAAGGGGAACCAGAAGGGAGGGAGAAAAGGAGGAAAGGAAAAGAAAAAATGTGGAAAGAAAGATAAAGTGGAAACATAGCTTTGGAAGGAAGGAAGGAAAGAGAGGTTGAAGGGAGGGGAAGGGAATGGGAAAGAATGAGGAATGAAGACGTATCTTGTACAGGTGAATTCCCTATGGTGAGTGAATCATTATGGATATCTAAATTGTACTGATAAATATAAAAATAATGAAATAAAGTAAGTAAATAAAAGCCATCAAGGTTGATTAAAATAAACAGAGTTGCTAAGCTGGTGAAAATAATTTACAGGGAGACAGGTAATGAAGAGACGAAATGAGCAAGCGGGGGTGGGGACCAATTTCAGTGGCAGCGACAGACGGCTCTAAGCTATGGGTGATTTTCTTCTCTGTCTCATTCAATACCTGAGCTGAGTCTCTGTCTTGGCTGAGACTCACAAGTACAGTCAGGAAGAGTCACAGTTGTTAGAAGGTTCCTGTAGTCTTAAATGGTGATCAGTTTTTGTCATCTAAAGGAGAAGACTTCTTTAAGCAGAGCAGCTGAACTCATAATGGTGGCAATTCTTGATGCAATAAAAAGTACTACATTATTTATTTTGCAGACCAACCATAAACATACTGGCAACAAAAGTTGTGAGAAAAGTCCCGAATGAGATGTGTTATAAGAAAAGATATACTTTAAAAATTCCCCATTCTGAAAATTTCCTTTGTTCAGAAGATACTGTTAGCTAACATCTTGCAACATTTCACAATAATTAATACTTTTCCAGGAAATAAACATTTAAGTACTACTATAACATAACTTCTGAAACTAATAGACAAGAGAAATAATCAGTAATATTAACTCAAAATTTCAACTTTACCCTAGAGTTGCAAAGGAAAGCGAATAACCATAACAGAATGCAATTCAAGTCATCAAATATTTATTGAGCACTTAGTCCATGCTGGGCCAAAGGCTGGAGCTCTAGCATTTGAAAATAGGTGAATAAATATGGTTTTTGAAAGAAGAAAAATTGTTATTGAGATGAAATTGTTGCCCTGTTGAAGAATTTCTCCAGGGCCCCCTTCATGTCTCTGTTCCTTAAGCTATAAATGAAGGGATTCAGCAATGGAGTGACCACTGTGTACATCACAGAAGCAACTATAGCCTTGTCACTGGAGGTACTAGATGAGGGGAAGAAATAAAGTCCAATAATTGTGCCATAATAGAGAAATACTACAGAGAGGTGGGATCCACAAGTGGACAAGGCTTTGCACATCCCTTTGGTAGATGGAACTTTCACAATGGTGGCCCCAATATGGCCATAAGAGATCAAGATGCATATTAGTGGTACAGTAATGACTGCCACTCCTACTGTGAAAATGACCCACTCATTGATAGAGGTGTCTGAGCACGAAAGCTTGAGTAGGGCAGCAAGGTCGCAAAAGAAATGGGCGATGCTGTGGTCAGCACAAAAGGACAGCTGGGCCAGGGGGAGGGTGTGAGACAGGGCACTAGTGCAGGACAGGACCCAGGAAATGGTTACTAATAGGATACACCACTCCTCTCTCATGATGCTGGTGTAGTGGAGGGGGTGACAGATGGCTGCATATCGATCGTATGCCATTGCCGTGAGAAGGAAATTGTCGAGATCAGTGAAAAATATGAAAAAATACATCTGTATTATACATCCTGCATAAGGGATGGATTGGTCCTGAGTTTGCATATTCTTCAGCATCTTCGGGACAGTGACAGATGAAAAGGAGACATCAGTGAAAGCCAAGTGGCTGAGGAAGAAGTACATGGGGGTGTGGAGGCGGGAGTCCAGTCTGATGAGCAGGATGATGAGCAGGTTCTCCAGCACTGTGGTCAGGTACATGACCAGGAACAGGGCAAAGAACACAGCATGCTGCTCTGGCCAGATGGGGAGCCCCAGGAGGAGGAACTCAGACATGCTGCTCTGGTTTCCCCTCCTCATGGTCTTCTTTCTGCTGGGAATGGAAGGAGAAGGAAGAAAGCAGAAGCAAATAAGTGTGATTTACAGCAGGCAGATAAAAACAAGCTCCTTTCTCCAAGTGAATACTGTGTAACAGTGTCGGTCTGGATTACAGTATCCTTACTAAATGCCATTTAAAACTAGGTTGCTTATAAACTGAGAGAATTTTCCAATAGAGAAAAGAGTTTGATATGGAAGAGAAGCAGGATCTATTGGCATTTTTTCATTGTCTCAGAGAGAGGTAACCCTGTAATTTGCTGTAATTTCCAGCTACTTCTGCAAACCTCCCAGTGTCTTAGAAATGTGATATTAAGTGAAAAATCTTTCCAAGTTCTATTCTGTCTCTGTACTTTAAAAATTATTCTGAGGACGGCTTTCATTGCATCCCATGGATTTCAGTAAGTTGTATTTGTAATTTCATTTGCTTTGTAGGTATTGTCTAATTTCTTCTTTAATTGCTTCTGTGACTCACTGATTACTCAATAGTGTGTTATTCAGTTTCCATGTGTTTGTGGGATTTTTGCAGTATCTTTTATCATTAAATTCTAATTTCAAAGTGCTATGATCTGATAATATGTAAGGGATAATTTGAACTCTTTTATTTATTTATTTATTTATTTATCATATTTATTTAAATATGTTCTGTGATTTAATATATGGTCTATTTTAGAGAATGACCCACATACGGCTAAGAAGAATGTGTATTCTGATGTTGTTGGATGGAACACTGTGTATATGTCTATCAAGTCCATTTGTTCACAGGTGTGATTCAGTTCTGTTATTTCTTTGCTGATTTTCTGTCTGGTTAATCTGGCTCTTGATGGAAGTGGTGTGTTAAGGTCTCCTGTTACAATTGTGTTACTGATATTTTGATTTTTCGTTTCTGTTAATACTTGTTATTTTATAACTGGGTGATCTGGAATTTCATGCATATATATTTAAGATAGTTATTTCTTCCTCTTGAAGTTTTCCCCTAACAAGTATGTAGTGACCTTCTTTATCTCTTCTGATCATTATTGGTTTAAAGTTCATATTGTTTGCAAACAGAATGGCTACTCATGCTTTTTTTAGGGTTCCTCTTGCATGAAGTATTATTTTCCATCCTTTGATTTTCAGTCTGTGAGTATCTTTTTGGGTTAGATAGATTTCTTGTAGAAAGCATATGGTTGGATTTGGTTTCTTGATCCATTCTGCCAGTCTGTTTCTTTTAATTGGCGCATTGAGATGGTTTACATTAATAGTTATAATTGATATATGTTGATTTATTATTGACATGTTACTTTTATGATGTTGCATCTTTATCTTTCTGTTCTGTTTAATTGTCTGCCTTGCTTAGTGGTTTTTTCTTAAGTGTATGTAAAGTGTCTTTCAATATTTTTTTCAGGGTTGCCTTGGGGATCATGAAGTTCTTCAGCTGTTCCTTATCGTGGAAGTATCTTACTTCACCATCGTGAATTGAGTTCCCATATTAGGAAAACAGAACTAATACAAATAAATAACCTGATGTTACACCTCAGACATCTAGAAAAATGAGAGCAAGTCAAGCCCAAAGCCAAAAGAAGAGAGGAAATTATAAAAATCAGAGTAGAAATCAATGCAATAGAGACTAAGAAACCAATCCAAAGAAACAATGAATCAAAGTGTTGGTTCTTTGAAAGAATAAACAAAGTTGATAAGCCCCTAGCCAACCTTATTAAAAAAGGAAGAAAAATATCAAATATATGCAATAAGAAATGAAAAGGGTGAAATCACTAAAGACTACATAGAAATACAGAAGATCATCAACACCTATTTTGAAAACCTCTACTCTCAAAGGTTTGATAACAAAGAAATAGACAGATTTCTAGAAACATATGAGACACTAAAGCTAGGTCAAGAGGATGTAAAACTGCTGAATAACCCAATTTCTATTAGTGAAATTGATAATGTAATTAAGTCCTTATCTACAAAGAAGAGCCCAGACCCAGATTCACTGCAGAATTCTACAAGAAATACAAAGAAGACCTAATGCTGACACTCCTCAGACTCTTCAATCAAATTGAAAGGGAAGCAATCCTTCCTAAGTCATTCCTGGAAGCAAATATTACTCTAGTACCAAAACCTGAGAAAGACCCAATTAAAATGAGAACTATAGACCAATCTCCCTAATGAACACAGATGCAAAAATCCTCAATAAAATATTGAAAAATAGGATGCAGCAAATCATCAAGACCATACAAAATGACCAAGTGGGATTCATCCCAGGCATGCAGGGATGGTTCAACATACATAAATCTATAAATGTAATCCACCATATCAATAAAGCCAAAAGTAAGAATCACATGATCATTTCTATAGATGCATAAAAAGCTTTTGATAAGGCCTAACATTCATTTATGATAAGAAATTTACAGAAAATTGGAATAGATGGTCTTTATCTCAATATAATAAAGGCCATCTATGACAAACCAACAGGCAGGATCATACTAAATGGCCAAAATTAGAAGACCCTTACTTTAAAATCAGGCACAAGACAAGGATGTCTTTTATCACCACTCCTACTTAATATGATATTAGAAACACTAGCCAGGTCAATTAGACAAGAGAGAGAAATAAAAAGGGTAAATAGGAAAAAAAGAAGTTAAATTATCATTGTTTGCAGATGACATGATACTCTACATAGAAGAACCCCTAAACTCCATTCAAAGACTCTTAAATATAATAAATAAGTTCAGTAATGTAGCTGGATACAAAATGAATACTCAAAAATCAATAGCATTCCTGTACACTAACAACAAAATCACTGACAGAGAAATAAGAGAAGCCATACCCTTCACACTGGCAACCAAAAAAATGATATATTTAGAAATTACTCTTACGAAAAAAGTGAAAGACCTATACAGGGAAAATTATAATACACTGAAAAAAGAAATTGAATATGATCTCGGAAAATGGAAAGACATCCCTTGCTCATGTTAGGAAGAATAAATATTGTGAAAATGGCCATTCTCCCAAAACTCTTATACAAATTCAATGCAATCTTAATAAAAATACCATCAACATACCTCAGGATCTAGAGAAATCACGCTTAGAATTCATCTGGAGCAAGGAGAGACCCAGAATAGCAGAGACAGTTATAAGCAACAAAAGCAAGGCAGGAGGCATCACAATCCCTGACTTGAAGTTATACTATGAAGCAATGGTAGTAAAGTCAACATGGTACTGGAATCAAAACAGAGCTGATGATCAGTGGAATAGATTAGAAGATGCAACCACAACTACAAACACACTCAACCACGTTATCTTTGATAAAGGAGCCAAACAGGTTCACTGGAAGAACGACAGTCTCTTTAATAAATGGTGCTGGAAAAACTGGCTCTCCATATGCTGAAAACTAAAACTAGACCCATGCCTATCACCATGTACTAAATTAATATCTAAATGGATCAAAGATCTAAATATTAAAACAGAAACACTAAATTTATTGGAAGACAAATTGGGTAAAAACGTTGAAGACATAGGAGTAGGTTGAGAATTCATGAACAGGACTCAAACTGCACGGGAAATACTTCCCAGAATCAATAACTGGGACCACCTCTTATTAAAAAGTTTCTGCATGTCAAAAGAAATATCCAGCATAGTGAAAAGAAAACCCACAAACTGGGAAAAAATCTTAATGGACTCCCCCTCAGACAAAGGACTTATGTCTAAAACATAAAAATAATTTTAAAAAATCAGGTCCCAAAATTCAAAGATCCAATCCAAAAATGGGCTTCTGAGAAGAATACACACTTCTCTGATGAAGAAATACAAATGGCAAATAAATACATGAAAAAATGTTCATCATCATTAGTCATTAGAGAAATGCAAATTAAAACCACACTGAGATTCCATCTCACTCCTGAAAGAATGGCCAGGATCAAGAAAACCATCGACAACAATTGCTGTAGAGGCTGTGGGGAAAAAGGAACTCTACTGCACTGTTGGTGGGACTGTGGACTGATGTAATCATTATGGAGGTCAGTCTGAAGATTTGTCAAAAAGCTAGGATTGGAAGTCCCATTTGTTCCAGCTATCCCACTTCTAGGCATATTCCCAGAAGAACTGAAAGCATCATACCACAGTGACATATGTGCACCCATATTTATAGCAGCACAATTTGTAATCGCCCAATATTGGAAACAACCTAGGTGTCCATCAGCTGAGGAATGGATAAAAAAGATGTGATATTTTTATACAGTGGAGTACTACTCAGCTATAAAGAATGATCACATTGAGATATTTATTTAAAAAATGGACACAGCTTGAGACCATATTCATAAGTGAAATAAATCAAACTCACATATATGAATACCAAATAGTTCCCATATTGTGAGAAATGGTTCAAATATGTAAAAGTATGTGGTAATCATGATTCCCCATTATATGGCTTTGAAGCCTTATAAAGTTTTCACTCATTAATTCGAATGGCTTTATTCTGGGTTGTTTGATATTATTGCCTGTGACGAAATGAACAGCTATTTTGAAGAAAACAAGGCATCATAGTAGCTAGTGCTGATTTAATATCATCTTGTTTTGAAGTCCCACCAAACTGTTGTTCTTCTGTCTCCATTGGTTTTATCATGTTGTATGTTACCGGATTTTATTATATGTAATAGTATAAACAAAAATTTTTATAGGCAAAGAGATAATATAGAAACCATTGCTTGTTTTTCATTAGCTGGTTCTAAATACCATGTAATACTTTCATCCTCTTGAATGGTTTCACAATGACTTGATATTTTTGATGCCATAGTATTCAAAGTTATACTGAAATATTTCAAGTAAAAAGACACTATGGTAACTACTATTAAGTCGGGTTATCTTGTGGTGAAGCACTAGGTTTCTGAAATTGTTATGTTTTGACATATATTGTTATGTCCTCTTTTATCTGAAACTCCTCCTTTTTTAAAAAAATTATTGATTTATTTTTTATTATTATCTTTTTAATTAAGGGAAAAAAT